ACGGCTGCTTTGTGGAACAGTCTAGGGTTAACCGTTATCTTCCTCACATATAACCATAAACTGTACATTTTACTCTTTAACACTCTACCTTGAGTGGCTCTTGTTCTCCGTACACGCTGAACATCATTGTAAAAGAGAATGTGCGAGTGTGCATATAGTTCATTAGCCTGTATCTCTATAAACAAATATGTAGATTATGCATATACAGGGTGTCCATAAAGTTTGTGTGCACTTTAAAAAATTTATAACTTTATTTGTATTTGCGATAGAAATAATTTGTAAAAAGGATTAGAAAGAAGTAAATCTATATTTTTTATGGTTTTATTGAAATTTTATTTAAGTTTCCACATGTCCTCCATTATTAGCAATACAAAGGATAATATGATTTTGCAGTTCTCGGAAAACATTTGCCAACTGATTTACAGATTCTTAGCCATGATAAATGGCCAGTCCAAAATTTGCTGTTTGGTAGCTTTCACAAATTTTAGATTTCTGAAGTTGAGGTCAGTTTCACTACTTTGAATGAGATGGCTTTCCACAACTTCCTGTACTTTGTAGATCTTAGTAAGTTTTTTTTTTATCCTTCTTACTTCATGTTCTACAAAACATTCACATAAGCTCGTTAGGTAGGTTAATTCCTACTTTCCTTCAATGTATCTTGTGAGTGTCAAATTCTCCAAGCTCTCTTTCCTCATTATGTGCCCTGGAAATTTCAGCTATCTATTCCTGAGGCTAAGTATAAGCGTTCTTTTTTGTTACCTTTTTTTTCTGAAAACTTCCTCGCTACTCATATGTTCAGTCCAAGGTATCCTCAGCATCCTTCTGCAGAATCTCTTACTGTTGTCTCAAGTCTATTTTTCATCCGTGATGAGATTGTTCAGCATTACCAGCCATAGAGGAAGACCCGTTATTACATCACAGTTCGACACTCTTTTTCTTTTTAATAACGGGTCTCCCTCATGGCAGTTAATGCTGAACAACAGTAACAATTATAAATACGAATGCAGGTATTTCAAGAAGTAAGTGGGCACAAATGAAAATGTTGTTTGTTCGAATTTGTTTAGCGGCATATCAACACCTCTATGGGTCATTTAATGCTGAAATCTAAATATTTTGTACATAATTTTATACTTTCAAGGTAAAAGGTATGTTTTTTTTAATATATAGTTTGTAGAACATAAAATGTATTGTTGGTAATTTTTTTACAAAAATGTATTCCTGGTAGTTTTACTATAAAATGTATTGGTGGTCATTTTACTATAAAACTGTATTGTTGATTCAGCAGTTAAGAGGTGGTTCCATGCTCCTCAAAACCTCCAATCTCCCGATCGGAGGCCTTGCTGCCGGATGTAGTTTATCATCATACCCAGGACTATTATAAATGACTTATTACTTTAAAGCACTCGAGGACAACACAAATGAAAGTATTAAAAATTGGCTATGTTTTCCATTTCAGTGACGCAGATGTTAAGCATATTTGAATGTTATCGCCTTTTCTATCTATCTTTCTTTCTTTCCCTAAAAACCAAGCAGCACTTTTGATATATCTTTTCTTCCTTCACTTCACGCAATCAAACTGGAATGGCTCATTATCTATCCCCGATTAATAGCAGGGCGTAACGGATGTGCTAACTAACAAATCAAAGAACTAAGGATAAAACAGAATTAAAATATAATGGGTGAGCAGACCCCATTAATACAATGCACTGATGTTGATGCTTCACACTTGTGTTCCTTATATCAAACCGCTATGGTTAGCAGTTTCATCTCAGACATAAATTTTCTCTTATAGCGAGTTAGATTATCACTAAACGTCCCATCGTTGTCGACTTGTAACAGGCCAGGCTTAGTTTGGTGAATACATAATTTACAAAGAATGGATCACTTTTATTGATTACTTGATGTGTGGAATGCGAACAGATGTTCATTTTGTTATAGTTGAGTTAACTTTCCTTCTACTTCTCCAGTAAATATGCACCGCGTTTGGTCTGTCATGTGATACTTAGAGTGAAGTCCTAGTCTGTACAGGGAGGTTCTGCGGGTGGGTAGTAGTTGCGAGGGGAAGATGCTTGCTTAACACGTGTTAAAAAAAAAAACAGCAGTACTACGTTCTGTATTGTGAGTAAAAAAAATGTAACATCCGCTAGTTTTCCTTTTCAGGGTTGGCGAGAAGGTATGTAACACATTTCTAAAATGTGTTACCAAGGTTTTCTTAAGGTTTGCTTTCTATCAAATAAAACCTTCATTTACGTTCTTTCGACTTCTCACTAGCCGTTTTCAATTTTTTAATGTTTGGGCAAATATCTGTATCTGCAGCAGGTCATGTATATTTGGTTGATACTATGAGTATATAATAAAAGTAGGTCATCTATTTATCTTAGGTTATTTTATAATATCGTCATAATATAAACCTATTAAACATAATAATGAAATTTAACTTTTAATGAATTTGCAATAAACAAAACTCTATCTTTCCTCAATATATTATTAATACATAGCAATAAAAAATTAGATTTTAGAGTTTATCGTAAACACATTAAAAAAAAGTATTTCTATTCCAATTACAATAAAAAATCAAATCAAATCTAGTCGTAGGATTCTACCTCAGAGCCTTTAGAATTGTCAAACTGACGGGCCGCGGACCACATGCGGCCTTTTACATGCATCTTGGCGGCCCTCACAAAGGTTTCTATAACCTTAGTATATCGAGAATTTTTGTTGAAAGTACCTAGAAGTAGGGGGTACCCGGATTTTTTTCATATCTTCCTCGGATATTTAAGAACTTCAGAAAGTTTGCCACAAAGATTATGGCGATGTTTGGTTCCACATATGTCTGTGAGAAGTTATTTTCGTTTATGAAGGCCACAAAAACGTCTTACTCAACCAGATTAACTGATAAACATTTGTCATCTTTCATCAAAGTGGGATCTACACAGACATTCCAACCTAATATATCGAGAATAGTTTGTCTAAAGCGATGTCAATATATCAGGACAACATAAAAATGATTAAATTATACTACCTTGTATTGTAAGTATTTTGTATTTAAAGTTTAGTTACCACTAGCTGTGATTAATCTAAGCAGGTGTGGCCCTCGAAGCTGAAGATATGGCTGATGCGTCCCTCCATATGCTTGCTTTAGAATATGTAACCCAGAATAACTAGGTGAAGAACAGAAATACATTGGAAAAACATTTAGACTTCTTCACTATCCATATCATTTCATACTCAGTGCTAGAAAATGAGCATACAAAGTCCACAAAAAACATTAAAAAAAAACAAAACCCAAATAGACATCACCGTAGAACTTCTAACATCAACAACACAAGGTTCGTAATCCTACCCACTAATAATCTTTCTATAAAACTCAAATAAATTAGTTACCCCCAATATTAGGATTTTTGCCACCACCCCCAAGACAATCGGAAATATAATTATAAAAACACTTATATCGGCGAGACATCTCGAAATCTAAAAGTCCTTATCTGCGAACATAAAAGGGATTTACGTTTGAACAACCATTTAAACTTGCTCGTAATACACAGGAACAAAACTGACCATTAATCTAAATTTACAAATGTCACTCTAATTAAAAGTAGAACATAATTCCTTACGTCGGAAGTATAATATTTTACCAATTATAAACACACGTCAAAAACATTAAATCATCAACTTTTATTGAATCCATTCTTAAAGAATCTAACGTATCTTTATCTAAAACACACGGTGTGTACGTAAAAACGTTCCCAAATCAACATGCAAAAAACGACAAAAAATATTACCTATTACTATTACACACACACACACACGCGCGCGCGCTTACGAATATACGTTACCATCTGAATCCCATATAGACAAACTATAATTATGATACACTTACATGAAGCAATATTGATTTCTTGGAACTTCGAAAGGCCGCCTCGTCTCTCCTTGAATTCAGAGAGCCATAAATTTAACTAGCGTTTGTTTAACAAGTCAAACGCACGTGAGATCTGATTAACCAAACACAAAATAAAAAAAATATCAAAATTTCTTACTTCTTTTCCTGCATACCTCATTCTCTGATGAAGCTTTAATAAAAGTGAAACATGTTAGATTGATAAACGTTTCCTATTTTTTGTTCTTTAACTTATCATTAAATTAAATTCTGTGTAAACATTTATCTCAGCTGTCCTCTAAATATCAAATTAATCTCTATTATAAAAGAATAGCTGTCTGTCTGTCCCTTACACACCTTTTCAGGGTGTGATCTTATATGCGCGTATGTAGTGTATATTCGTATGTGTGTGTTGTGCGTGATTGACTTAAGTGTGCTTTTGCCACTAATGTACACACAAGCACACGCGCGGGTGTACATGTACGGGAACACACAGTTTGACTGAGAGAAATAAGCCATTGGAATAATAGATTACCTTCTCACTCAGTCAGGACAGCCCCTACCATGAGCTGAGCAATAAACTCATAAAGTTGAAAAGAACGACCATTTTAAACTCTAAAAATAATCAGTTAACTATAAGATTTTATTGAACTGTTCGGAAATTATTCGATAATAAATAGAGTTAATTTTTGAATTTAAAAAAAAGATTCTGGGGAAATATTTGTAAGTTCTTAATTGAATTAAAATATGTGTGCACACGTGCAGAGACATCTAGTCACAATTTAAAATGAAAAGATAATGCACATCTGTGTCGCGAGTGGCAGTATGACAACAAAACCTGGGTAACGGGAAAATCCTATAAGTCTTAAGGCTTACGGCCATATCATGTTGAGGTTTTCTTACGATTATCGAAGTTAATCATTGTCAATCCTGGTCAGTACCTAAATGGGTGACCACATTGGAATAGCAGGTGTTATATGCTTGGATATGAGGGTAGTATAGCTTAAAGCCAAACCATTGAAGTTAAGCAACGTCGAGCCTGGTCGGTACTTAGATGGGTGACCACATTAGAATACCAGGTGTTATATGCTTGGATATGAGGGTAGTATAGCATAAAGCAAAATCATTGAAGTTAAGCAACGTCGAGCCTGGTCAGTACTTTGATGGGTGACCGCTTGGGAATACCAGGTGCTGTAAGCTTGGAGGATGTTGCAATGTATAACGACTCTCAACTAGAAATCGGAGAGCCGAGTTCCCAAGCCTCTCCCCCAGCTATGGGTTAATTAGTAGGAATTGTATCAATGAATCGTTATTATATTAGAAAATATTTCATGCAATAAATAATCCGAAATTTGCAGCCCTTTGATATCCTTTTTATAATAGCTTCTGTATTTAAACGGAATATTTATTTTTTAATCATTTCACCCCAAGCAAGGCCATAATGGCACTAAGACGCAAGAGGTTACAGGGAGTAAAAGGGAATGAAAAGAATTTAAGAACAGGAAACCCAATCGTGAACAGGAAACAAGGGATAAACATCTACTGATGTTCAAAACAAGCAGAAGGAGCGTGAACTGGGCAATAGACGAACCCATCTGTTCCTTTTATATCTTTTTAAATAATTGTAGTATTTTAAATGGACAAACAATTTGGATGTGAAATTTGATCAACTTGCCTTCAGCGAAGCTACAGGTACAAAAATAAATTAGTTTCCCCCGTATAAGAGTAAAATATTAGAAAAAGGTAGCATTTGAAACAAATCCCAAACAGAGAAATTGGTGATTTTTTATACCAAAACTCAGCCAATACAAGGCTCGAGATCCTATCAAGGAATAGGACTATTGTTAAAACGGTTACAATGAATGACATTCACCCGCCTACCACTGTACTGTCATAGTCAATAATTCTATAAAGATATAGAACAAAATTAGGGTAACATAATAAAGTCTTAGTAATAAAAAATAATAATTTGGTGTAAGGAATTAATGTGTACCACTGAAACAAAGGGAGGTAAACAATGAATTGCAGACCCGATTAGACACGTAAACGACTGACGGATCCGTGAGCAAATATTGAAATACTGTGCTTATCTAAACCGCAAACGAATTTTTAAATTTTTCTTATTCTGACTGTCTAACACGACCACATTGATAGATCATGCATGGTGTTTTGTTACAGTGCTCCCCAGTTCTGCTATAACATACAAGATCAGATATCATATAAGAGTGTAACACTCGTTTCTCGATGTATTTAACCCAAGTTTTGTTACGGTGGTTATCAGGTTGACCTTCCGCGCATTCAGATGCCATTCGTACCGCAGAGGTAAAAAAGGTCTATCAAATTCGAAACATGCAACAGATGACGACGAGGATCTGCCGAGTGATTTGAAGAGTTAAACCTATCACTAATGTCAACGGCTGATAAGACTTAAACATTGGCAAACAGGCCTCTCTGACATAACCCGAAGTAACACTGTCTGACAAAACAAACAACAACAACAAAAAAAAGAATATTACTAATAATACACTGTTGGACAAAATCATAAGGCTAATAAAATTAAAATAAAAATATAACTTCTGCGTTTTTAGACTCAACCACTTATTTGAGGAGAGCTTCAAAAAATGAAAATAAGAAAAGGAAAATTTAAAATTTAAAACATTTTTATCATTTAATAGGGAAAATTTGAATACTGGGAAATTAGGCTCTATATTGGGTTGGTGCATAATTATCAGGCGTTTTTTAAACAATATTTATTATAAAAAAAGAAACATAACAATTCAACAATGACATTTTAAACAAGCATGATTATCGTCATGCATTTTTATAACTTGAAAATAATATTTTTATTAAAAAAATAAACAAAACAGCAATTTTTATTAACAAATAACTCGCCTACAAAACGCCTGATAGTTATGCACCAACCCAATACAAGCTGGTTAAATGTTTAAGACCTTACCTAAAAGAAGTCCTAAACAGAGTAGGAAATGCCCAATAAGACGTCTCAGTAATGAGTTGCACGGCTGTCATTGTGAATAACGTTAAAAATTCTCTTTGTCATGGTCACTATAAGCGTCTGCAGAAGCGTGGTTTTGGTTTGTTTTACGGCATATCAACCTCAATGGGTTTTTTAATACCGACAAAATTTTTATTGCTGGTAATTTTTTTTTTCAAAAATGTATTGCTGGTAATATTTGTTCCTTCAAAAATCTAATTCTGGTAATATTTTTTCTTTAAAAAATCTATTTCTGGTAATATTTTTTCTTCAAAAATGTATCGTTGGTAATATTTTTTTCAAAAATGTATTGCTTGTAATAATGTATTGCTGGTAATAATTTTTTTTACATAGTATTTCTGGTATTAAAACCTATTTTTACACTTTCATAGTGTTTTGACCCCAGTTTGGTGTGGTCAACTATTTGCTCATAGCTGGAATCTTAACAGGTGCTACCACCCAGGGTCAGGGTGGACCTGGGAACACAGGCAATTAAGAGATGTTTCATCGCTCCTCAAAACCTCCTGATCAGAGGCCTTGCTGTCAGGCGTAGTTTATCATCTTACTCAGGATGCGGTGTAGTTTATCGTCTTACCCAGGACGGGCAGAAGATGTTATTCCAAGTGGTGAAGATAGCTTCATGAAGATCATACACTGTTTGGAATTGACGTCAATTTTTATACATTTCCCATAGCATCCAACCATTCAACAATTTTAATGATATTTAGGTCGGGCGAACATGCTGGATGGTTTAAAAGAATCACGTTATTCACGATCAAAAAATCCTTTTTCCTATGGGCATTATACATTGCAGCATTGTCCTGCTCCAGTCATTTTCACACAAGCGAGGACTTTCAATCAATAAGGATGCTGTCTCCAACATGCTGATGTAATCAGTCGCGGTCTGACGCCCTGTATAACCTGTTCGCTGGAAGGAGGTAGCAGCCCAAATCATGATGGAACCTTCTCCACTGTGTCGTGTAGAAAATGTCTTCGGTTGGATATCCTTATCGTGCCAGTAACGTTGGAAGCCATCTGGATCGCCCAGGCTATATTTTTTCTCAACAGTGAACAAAATCTTCTTCCATTCTTCTATGTTCCATGTCTGGCATGTTTCAGAAAGTTTTAAACGAGCTGTTTTGTGGTGTGGAAAGAAGCGTGGATATTGAAGACGTTTATGTTTTTTTAAAGTCTATCTCTCTTGAGCTGCATTCTGCGTCCTTAAGGGCCTTAATTTGGTTCGATGATCGGCTGGTGTCTTGCCGGACAACCCGTCAAATACCCCTGCTCAAATTCTCCTTCCGTATCCCTCGTTTTTTTTTTAAAAGAAATTTGCAACAACATTTTTACTACGTCCAATCTCACCAGCGGTGGTACGTTGAGAAAGAGAGCTTGCTTTTGCCGCTCGACAATTCTTCCATGTTTAAATTTTGTCTTTTTTTTTAGCCTTTGCCATGTTTTTGCCTAATGTAATGCAGGAGATACTAGTGGGATATATGTTGACTGCGCTAATACCTGAACTCAAATGACTTCGTTACGTGTTTACCAATTAAAGCTTTGTTTAAATAAACTTTTGACCAGTTAGTATTTAGCCTAATTTCCCAGTATTCAAATGTTCCCAATGAAATGTTAGAAAAAGTTTTTTTTAATTTTTTCCTTTTCTTTTCCCTTTTCGAGGCTCCACTCAAATAAGCGGTTGACTGACAACGCAAAAGGGATATATTTTCTGTATTTTCATGGTCTTTAACATTTTGGCCGACAGTTTATATGGCAGGACAGACATCATCATCACTCCTACTACTGCAGTACATTTTCTGTCCTTACGTCTCTTTAATTGTAATAAAAATTCAAGGCTGGTCTAGTGTCATTATTACCGCTTCAACTACAATCACTGAACTTTCGTCTTTAAATTGTAAAATAGTTTAGTGCAATTATTGCCACTATTACTTCTACTACTACTATTACTACTACTACTACAGGAAAGCTTCTGCCTTCTCTTCAACTCAATAATAATAATAATAATAATTAATAATAATAACAATGATAATAGTAATGATGTAAAATGTGTGATTTAGGTTGCTTTATTTTATTTTTACAAAAATATTTGTTTGTCGGTAGGCTAACCTCAGTCTAGGTGCAATAAGCAATAACATACATGAAAAGATTCACATTATCAAATAAACTAATAACAAAAGTGATAAAACCATTTCTAATTTATATATTACTGACATAACTTCATAAAACATTGTCTATACGAGGCATAATTCCATACCAATGAAATCAATTTGTATCCGTGCAAACTCAGCTGAGAAAATGTAAACATCGAGTTATGACTGCGTTCATAGCAACCTTTATCTTTCGCTAAACTTTAATAACCATCATGATAATGTTAATTACAGCAGTAATAACATTTACGATAACATAATATTCATTTCTCGTGAAAAATTCATTATCATTTTGGTGCTAAATAAAACAATTTAGGTTTAAATATAGCCTTGGGAACCTCGGCGTGGTGTAATGGTTAGCAAGCTTGTCTCGCTGGAATATGTTACGACTGAGTAGTGAGTTCAACCCTCACTAGGTGCTTCATACTTCCGGCCTTGTGCCACATCTAAGCAGCGCTTAGAAAATCACTATATATAATGGTAACTATTATTTTTCAAATAAAAATCCTTTTACGGTAATTGCAGTTAAAACCTTTATTTTGAATTTCTAAGGATATACAGTAAGTAACAACAGCTCCAATAACATCATTATATAATTAGTCGTCTTATACTACAGGTATAGGATAAATTCATGAAAATTGGCTCTATTTTTTGGCCTCGTCTTATCTAGCGGTTGCCTTATACGCGGAAATATACGATAAATACAAAGGCCTTGAAATTGAAATTCAGTAGATGCGCAAACAAACCCCAATCGGTGCACTATTAAAAAATATGAAAAATTATGTTTCCCGACACCCTGGTTAAGCGAGTTTGGCTTAAATGCATAAGATTGAATTCATAAGTATATCCCATACTTTCAATGATGTTCACTCTTTACAAGGCCCAAGAGCCACTTGACGTAGAGGGTTACAGAATAAGAGACACCCCACCACCAAGCAAGGTGATAATGCTATTAAGACACAAGGGGCCACCGGAAGTGAAAGAGAAGGAAAAGATTTTAGAAAGAAGCGGAAATCCAATCTTAAACAGGAACCAAGGGAT